AGGTGTTTTGTTAGAGCCCAGTAGCACAGCCTTCCCAGTTACCTGAGGTGGACAGTCTTGGTGTAGCCCTTTGTGGGCTGTGTGTGCAGTCTTGTTGTTAAGGCTTGCTTGTTGTTAGTATCCCTGGGAAGCGTTGATCTCCAAGCCAATTGGCTGTGAGGATCAGCAGTGTCTCATCTAGGAGGGCTTCTGTACTTTGCTTGGATGGGGCAGAGTCTTGGGGTGGTGCAGACAAGCTTTAGTGAGTCCCGCAAGATTGGTTGCAGGTGCGCGCACCTCTTTGGTATAGGCGCAGATAAGCTTTGGATTCATCCCTCCTCGGGAAAGTCCTACTCGCGGCGAACGAGAAAGCCAGCCTCTGGGAGGGCTTTCCTGCTCCGCTTGGATGGGGCAGAGTCTTAGGGTTTTGCAGACAAGCTTTGGTTTCCCGTCAGCCCTTCCCTGAGTCCCACAGTAATGGCTGCTGGCTTCACACACCTCTGAAAGATCTCTGCCCACTGCTTGACAGTCTGGCCTCTCCCTGACTGGGGCCGTCTATCAGAGCAATAGGGTGGTTTTGTTTTCCTCCTGAACATGCATTAGCTGTCCGCCCTCTCTGCATGCCGCAAGTAAGCCAGCAGTGAACTCGGTTGGCCACCTTTCGCAAGCACGGTTCTCTGCACCTTCATAGTTCTTGAGGCTCAGCATGCCTTCTCTCTCCTTCCCGGATGGTAGAGCCTCCTCTCAGCCAGCTGTTTAGCGCTTCAGGGTGATGTTTCCTCTGTTTTCCAGTTCTAAATTCAAAATTGTTGTGGTAGGCTGCATTCAGGTGTCTACCCTATGCCGCCATCTTGGTTTCTCCGAAATTCAACATTTTTAAGGCTAAAAATATCTATGATGTTAACACCTTCAGAAAATTTAACATATGAAGTTTTGAAGCTTGCTGTCAATACAAGAAAATAGCATGCATATCAAATCACATATATGTTAACATATAAGTAACTTCCATCTATTGAAAAAAATCTGCATTATTAACTGGTACAACTGATAGATATCATATTGACTTTTGCAAAGCATTATTTCTTTGCAAAAGTCAATATAATAACAATGGCCAGGATGGAAATATCTTCAGTATCTTTTCCTTTTTTCTGTTCTCATGTCTTTCATAGCTTTCATAACAGGTTTATAGCTCTTTCCAGAATTACTTTTAACATTACAGGTGGCTACTGTGTTTCCCCGAAAATAAGACATCCTCTGAAAATTAGACCTAGCGCATGGAAAGATAAGACATCCCCTGAAAATAAGACCTAGCGCAACTTTGGGAGAAAAAAATAATATAAGACACTGTCTTATTTTCGGGGAAACAGGGTAGTTTATTTTAGTTGGCTAGAAAAGTACCTTTTAAATCCCAAATTCGAAATCTAAACTCTATGGGCCAATTGGTTTAACAGCATTTTGTGTCTGGAACCTCTACACATTTGATCAGAAGAGGAATTTGTCATAGTTCAGGAGAATCGGCACATATTTATGGCACCACCAGAGTTCATTATATCATGGTAACCCTTTGGGGAATTACATCACAATCTGAAAAAGCTATAGGGGCTGTTGTGTCAATCAGAGGAAATTTGTCTGTTTTTGTGGTCTTGTTGTAATAATGTTTATCTATCTACTATGTCTTTCAACTTCAGCACTATACAAGAGACTGGTCTAGGCAATTACAAAAGACAGAGAATTTCTTTTAGGAATTTAGAATATAAAATAGTCATTAAGTTTTATTCACAAATAACTGCTAAAGTAGTAACCATAAAGAAATATACAGGTGAGGCAAAAACAGTATAGGCAACATGCCTGAAAAGGTCCTGCTGATTAGATTAGAAAATCTAATTTGTACTTTCTAAGGCTTATTTTTATTGTTATCTAAAAATCCCTTCATATATTTTTCTTCTTTTTTTTTTTTTTTCTGATACAGATCATATAGTATGATTATGTTTGTCAACTTTGCCTAGAAGGATTTTTTCCAGCATTGCCATTAGGATGCAGTGTTTGAACTAAACTGATTCAGAGAGGGAGGGTGGAAACTACTATTTTCTTTGTAAACTGTGCAAGACATTTAGATTTTAGATATAATAAACTTTTGTGTTAGCAAAGCAATGTCATGTTTTACATGTTTCCTTTATAATTCCACATAAAACAATCCATAAAATAAACCGTATATTGCGAACTATCGATAGTTGGAAGTAGTGGTTAAACTCACTATGTATATTTCACTGTAGTTTGATATATAAATCACTAGGATTTTTAGCATGGAGTTGGGGAAAGAAATCCTAGTTACACTTCTTTCCCCTTTTAAGTTTCTCCTTTTTTTTTACATTTGCTTTGGCTATTTTTCTCTATTGTCAGTGGAATTATTGTCTTCCTGTCTCCATATTCAGGTAGTGTCAGTGGCTGAGTATCACCGCAGGATCGATGCTCTAAATACTGAAGAACTGCGCACACTCTGCAGACGTCTCCAGGTGCCCCCTTCCCTAGTTTAAACCCCGCCAGAGAGTGACTGCTCCCTGTCCTAGTGTCTTTCATTGGGGCAAATCTCACTTTTGAAGGATTTGTTTTGACTGTAGCACTAAATTAGCCCATCAGAAAATTCCTTTTTTGTACTAACGAGGATAGTAATGCTTTGAAGAGCTGTAGGCTTATCTTTTCTGTCATCTTTACATTTGAAAAAGTCTCAGAGGAATTTTCTGTCACTTTAGAACTCTTTAGCACAATGTATTTTTTGAGCGTTGAGGAGTTTCCATTTAACTTTAACATTGGAAGAATGCCTTTGGTTTTAAGGTATGATTTTTGTTAAACAGAATCTTAAAGATATAGTGCTATAGGAAAATTTAAAAAAATTTAATGGATACAAAGGCTTAAATATTATCTCTTTTTCAAAGCTACTTCAGCTGTATCAGCCCCACATCAAATATTTTAATGAAATAATTGTTTTGTTCCTGGGATATTCCTGGTTGGTATTAGAAATACTTTAAAAAATACAAGAGGTTAGACACAGAACTAGATTACTTAAAATTCATGAAATAGTATTTGTGATTTAAAAAAAATTTTTTTTTTTTTTTTTTACAAAAAAAAAAGCAATACAATTAAATTCATTTCCCAGTTTTGTGTGCTGTGTGTTTTCCTCTTCTTAGTAAGATGATTTCATGGCTTTCCTGAAACTATAAATACTTAGTTTTTTTCTTTCCTTTGGATATTTCTCTTGCTGCCTTGGATTTTTTTTTTTTTAACCTTTCACATCATCAAAATGAGAATAAAATATGATGATGTGAAAGAATTTATAATTTAGCTTTTCATAAAAAAAATACAGTTCTAGAACATGTATTTGCTAAAAATATATGCTGTTAAGTTTTGGTATGAAATCTGTTAAAGGAACAAAATAGTTTAGCCCAGTGGTCAGCAAACTCATTAGTCAACAGAGCCAAATATCAACAGTACGATTGAAATTTCTTTTTTGAGAGCCGAAAATCGACTTCTGCGCATGGGCCATCAAGTTTCAATTGCATTGTATGTGCGCGCCCTCACGTGGTATTTTGCGGTTTGCCGACTACTGGTTTAGCCACATTCCATTTCTGTGTAGAATCATAAGTCGTCAAGCATTGCTATGTTTTAGTTATCTGCTCCAAAATAACTCTATATTCAAAATTTAAAATTTATTGATAATGGTTATGTTTCAGATATTTTCTTTTCTAATGTTACTGTGTTTTATACATTAAAATAAAATTAATATGGGGGGGGGAAAGCAAATGCCAATAGCAGGGATTATATAGGAGTTTGTTTTGAAGTAATCGACATTTTTATCATTTTAAGAATATCAAATAGATCATTTTCATCAAGCAAAAGCATTCTTTTTTTTTTTAAATCTCTTAACATTTTTTATAGTTAAGCCTTTTTTTTAATTTAATATATTTTATTGATTTTTTACAGAGAAGAAGGGAAAGAGACAGAGAGCTAGAAATGTCGATGAGAGAGAAACATCGACCACCTCTTGCACACCCCCCACCAGGGATGTGCCCACAACCAATGTACATGCCCCTGATGGGAATCAAACCTGGGACCCTTCAGTCCGCAGACTGATGCTCTACCACTGAGCCAAACCGGCTTCGGCAAAAGCATTCTTTTTAATGCATCAAATTGATCTAATTTAAAACAGATTTGTGAATAAGTTAACTTTTTAATTTTGTTATTTAGTTCAACTGGATAAAAAAAAAATCAGTGTTTAGAACATAAGAACAATGAAAGCATTTTTTTAAATAACGGTAACTTTTTCAGTGAAGCAAGTACACACACATCAATGAAATTATACTTTTTATTGTACTATTCTTTAAATTAAAATTTTAGCACTGAGGACGTTCTCTGAATTTTTTTTGGCAAATTTTATGTTTACCATGAAAATAATAATCCCACATATTTTAAATAGCACACATAAAAAGCATGCTTGCCGAAACCGGTTTGGCTCAGTGGATAGAAAGGTCCCGGGTTCGATTCCGGTCAAGGGCATGTACATAGGTTGCAGGCACATCCCCAGTAGGGGGTGTGCAAGAGGCAGCTAGTCGATGTTTCTCTCTCATCGATGTTTCTAACTCTCTATCGCTCTCAATTCCTCTCTCTGTAAAATCAATAAAATATATTAAAAAAAAAAAAAAGAAAACATGCTAGTTGGTAACTTTTGTCCTTCATTAGCAAAATTAAAGTTTGCATGCAACACTTCCCTTTCCCATAAAAGTATGGGCTTATCTATCATTCATTACCTATCCTTCATGTATCAATGAGAAAAATGTCATCTTATAGTTAAAAAGTCTTTTCCTACGCTGGATATTTTTAATGGAGCATCTTTTGCCTTCTAAAATTCTAAATTAAAGCTTAGCTATCTTTTCTAAGGTATAAAGTTTTATTTCTCTCAAAGAGCTAAAATTTTGAAAGTATATTGCAATTTTATATTAATATACTGCTGCTGTTTACTTCTTTAGATTACTACAAGGGAAGACAGCAATTCAGAGCAGGTTGCTCCAGTGAAGGCAGACCTGGAGTCTGAATCCTTTAGACCAAACCTAAGTGATCCCAGTGAACTCTTACAGCCAGATCAAATTGAAAAGGTATGGCATACTCACATGTGAGCATTTCTGAGTGTATACCCCTAAGAGTAAAACAGCCTCTGTTTAGTTGTTTTGAAAACTGAGGAAGTAGGGTTATTGCTCCTAGTCTTCCTCTCCCATGAAGAGAAAGTAAACACAATATAGCAAACTGGTGTAATCTTACCTAATAATAGACAAACATGTCAATTGATCGCACCTTCACTATGCCCACAGCCAATCAGGAGTGGGTATGCACATTAACCCAACAAAGAGGAAGGGTTAATTTGCATATGCAGGCATGAAGCAGCCAGGAGGAGAAGGATGCCTGCTATGAGGGGGAGAGTGGGCAACTGAGGGAGCTACAGGAATGGTACTCCTTCTGGAGCCAGGACTTGCCTGCTCCCAGGCGGCTGGGAGCAAAGCCAAGGGAAGGAAGGCCTATTCTTGCATGAATATCGTGCAACGGGCCTCTAGTAGAAGATATTAGGAGATTTGGGTAAGCAAACATTAAAAAATTAACATTAGCAATTTAGATTGAGCTCCTGCAAAAGCCAATATTTAATTTATTTTTGGGTGCTAGTTACTTGCTTTCTGTGAATTATCTCATGTAGTTGTTGCAACACTTGTAGGAGTTGGATACTTTTAATTGTGTGCATTTTATAAGTGAAGAAAATTGGCCACAGATAGGTTAAGTATATATTTGTTAGAATCACACAGATATACCAAAGTATTTAAGTTTGATTTCTAACTCTGATAGTTTGCCTCTAGAGCCATTATTTTAGAGGTTTTTAATAATGAGGTTAATAGTCCACTCAGTGTTTTTGTCAATTCAAGACAGAGGGCACTATAAGTAATTCATATTTCTTATGTCTGTTCAAATTTGTATCTTGTTCAGCATAATTCTTTTCCTAGGTATTTCATGCTGAGAAATGTACAGTTACTCTTTAAGAATCTCAGTATCTTTGAGAATGAATTTTATAAAATACCATTCAATTCCAACTGGCATTAGTATCTTAAAAACTGATAATAAGCTATCAACTAAATTTTAACGTTTTATTTTTCAAAGCTTACCAAGCATCTTCCACCAAGAACAATTGGCTATCCATGGACTCTTGTTTATGGAACCGGGAAGCATGGCACAAGCTTGAAGACTCTTTATCGGACAATGTTAGGTTTAGACACCCCAGTTCTGATGGTGATTAAAGACAGTGATGGACAGGTATGAAAATAACTGTATAGACACCTTACATTTTAAGTGATTATAGTAACAGAACTTTAGCGTATTCTTTTGACTAAAATTATTTTTATTAGTAGATTAAGTTTAACTGATAATAATTGAGTACTTTTAATATGCAAGGCGATAAAATTATTTTTATTACTACATTTTATTAAGCTTAACTGATAATTATTGAGTACTTTTAATATTCAAGGCAATGCTGAGTGCTGCTGAAGGTAGATATGTATTTTAAGGAGTTCCTGCCTTCAAAGAGTTTATAGTTTGGTTAAAAAGTATGTCTATATCTATAAAAGCCTAAGTGACCATTCCACCTGAAGCTATGATGTGCACTGACCACCAGGGGCAGATGCTCTGATCAGTAGGTTACCTTACTAGTGGAGTCCGGTCCATTGAGACTGGGCAAGATGGGCCAAGTAGTAAATATAAATATTAGGAGAAACAAAAGTTTTTAGAGAGAGAGTTGTTTATATCTATTTGGGAAAGAATAGAATGAGGTTTACGGAAAGGGTGGAAATTGACAGTCTTGAAGCATAGGTAAAGGTTTTAAAATTACAAAGATAATTGTATGAAGATGATACCAAGAGCAAAATAATAGATAAGCAAGGGAAACATTCACATGTTCCTAAAACAGCAAGTCCAAATCAGTACCAGCATTAGAGAGTAAAAAAAGGGGTGAAATAGCAATATTAAAAAAAAACAAAACAACAGCACTACTGCTTCTACTGATACCTTTAGTGTGTTTATTGTATACACTTGTCTGATATTTTCTATGCATTATCTTAATCATCAAAGCCCTATGAGATTGATATTTTTTTATTCCTGTTTTAAAGATGAGCTGATTATGACTTATGAGATATATCAACTTTCCCAGGGTTATACACCCAGTAAAAGCAAAATGAAAATGAACTACTATTACATGCCTAGCATAGATAAATGTCACAAACATGAGTTAAAAATATTGAGGAGTAACTTTCCATTTATAGAAAGTTCATAAATGGTCAAAACAAATCTATATTATTGTTGGGCTAGTAGCTTCCTTTGGAGAGGGGGCGCAGAGGAGGTATAAGGAAAGCTTCTGGAGTAATGGTAATCTGTTTCTTATCTGAATGAAGGTTAAATGGACTTTGCTTTGTGATCATTCAAAATTAGGCTGTCCATTTATATTATATATATATATATATATATAACATACATACATATTATATATACCTTTCAATAAGAAAGTCTGTTTCAAAAATTAAGACTATGAAAATAGGAAGTCAAAGCAGTGACTGTGGAGATCTCTACATTCCATTTATGATGTAGAAACTTAGACCGAGAACATTGAAATGACCTGTTCAGGTTTTTTTATTCATTTATTCTTTTCTTAGGGTATCTGCTGTGTGCCTTGTACTATTGTAAGGCAATGGCGTTTACAGGCCAAACACTTCATATCCAAGGCTGCCCTCATGGAGTTTACAGTCTGATGAAGAGAAAGATAGCACACCTTTAGTAGTACAATGTTTACGTGTCCTGAAGGGCTTTTCTCCCTGAGTGCTCCCTCGTGGCAGCATGTTATCCTCATTGTACATACATGGTGCATCTAAGGCCTCCTGAAATGTCGGAGCAACTTTTTAAGATTGTCTGTTTAATTGTTGTAATAAAAAGATGATAAGCATATTTTTATATTTTATAACTAGGAAAAATCAAGAAACTGATATGATTTGTCCTTGTCATTAATGGGAATTATATAGCCACTGATCATGTTTCCCTTTGTTAGTACAAATAGATAAAACTATACTGGATTTCTTTTATTTATTAATTTAAATTTATTTTTCACATTTTACTTAAACATATATTATAGGATAATGCTTAATAAAATAATGTGCTTTTGTTTTTATCCTTAGGTTTTTGGTGCATTAGCAAGTGAGCCATTTAAAGTGAGTGATTGCTTCTATGGTACTGGAGAGACCTTTGTTTTTACCTTCTGTCCAGACTTTGAGGTAAGGATGCTTATTCCAACTTTCCATTTATAAGTAGATGCAATAAAAATGGAGCATGTACTTTGGAGTTTTGTGTACTTAAGCTTGTCTCTCATCTCAGCCTTTTACTCACTGAAAATATCACTTTTTTTTTTTTTTCATAATTTTGAGCTTCATTTTTTCTGTGGCTAGAATGGGGACCATGAAGTGCATCAGAATTGTTTAAAAATTAAATGAGAATCTGAAATGTACAATACTTGGCCTGGAGCCAGACACACATTATGGGCTCAGAAAGGAATATACAGCATTATTGCTATTCTGTATTTGAACTGCCATTGTGAAATTCCTAGCAACTTTTAATGACTAAATAAGCATAATGATGTACATCTTGAAAACCTAAAAAATTATTTTTGTTTCATTCAAAAGTGATTACCTTTTTTTTTCCTTATAGTGGCTTGACTAGCTTAAATTGAAAACATTCTAATGCCAATCCGATCTAAAATTTAAAGGTATACATGAGTTTGTTCAACTATTTTCATTAACAATTTCATTTTTAAATACCTATAGAGTCAGAAAAGAGAAGTATGTGTCAAGAGGTAAGAATTGGAATTCAAGTTTACCTTGCAATAGAACTTGTGCTTTTAAATTTAGTCATACAAACAGTGAAACCCAAAGCACCACAACTTCTGCCCAAAGGCTTTGTTCTTGTTCTAGTTTCTCTTACTATCCATCTAGGCTTTGACTGCTTGGAGTTTAGAAGAATTAACTGTTTAGTGACCATTTAAAGCTACATATTTAAAGCTCTTTTTTTCCCCATTTCTGTAGGTCTTTAAGTGGACAGGTGATAATATGTTTTTTATCAAAGGAGACATGGATTCCCTAGCTTTTGGTGGTGGAGGGTAAGTCTGAACATTTTGCCATGAGATTTTTAAGAAACTTTATTTATATTACTTTTATTTGTATTATTTATAAAATAAGTCATCTTTTGAAAGTTTGACATTAGAATCCTAATTTGTACGTAGTGTTTAAGAAAGTATACTTTATTTGCAAGAAGGTGATTAAGTGTAGTATTTGAAACCATTGGTAGAATATTTGTTTATTCATTTTAAAATGCTGTTTAGTTTATTCCCTTTTTATTAAAACCCATCTGTTATTAGAGTACAATGACTCCTTAGTATTTGAAAAAGAAATATACTAATACTTTAGAACCCAATTTTAAATACCATAGTGGTTTATTACTTCTCCCATTGTACAAAAAAAAAAAAAAATGGTCCAATTGTTTTTATGTTATTTTACCCTGGTGACTATTTGGACTGATATAGAAAACGTTTTTGCAAAAAAATTTTAGTTATCCTTCTCACCCCAAATTTTCTGGGTTGGTTTTTTTTTTTTTTTTTTTTTTTTTTCTTCTTCTTATTTTGTTTTGTTTGTAACCGTATGAGTCAATAAGTAATTTGATTTTTTCTTTTTTTTAACTGTTGGAAGTATTATGTATGTTCCCTCCTCCTCCTTCTCTCCCTCCCCCCTTACCTCTTTTAGCCTCCCTACCCCCTCCCTAGGCCTTCTCTACTCTTTTATCTGTGTCCATGGGTTATGCAAATATGCATGCAAGGTCTTTAATTGATCTCTTCCCACCCACTCTCCTCTACCTTCCCTCTGAGGTTCTACTATTTCGTGCTTCTATATCTCTGGATCTATTTTGTTCATCACTAGTTTCTGCCAGAACTTCATTTTAATTAATTATACAACATGATTCCAGCAAACTAAACTAACCTTTGGCCAATTTAATAACAAATGAAGACAAGTTTACTGTCATTGAGAGAGTACAGGCTCAGAAAATGGGAGCTACATGGACTTGATATTCCAGAATTCCAAACAGGAGCCCCAAAGAAATCAAAGTCATGATGGTGATAGACTGAATGTCGGCTTTGGAGTCAGATAGATCCAATTCAGATTCTAGCTTCAACATACATTACATGTGGGACCTTGAGTAACTCAAGTCTAGCATTTCCTAGCAGTGAATTAGAGATTGAACCCTTCATTTTAACCCCACTTTTTATTTTCCATAATGTATAACTTTATGCCTCTAGTGACTCATGTTAAATACAAGGTGAGCAAAAATAGGTTTATAGTTGTTCATATAATAAAAATGCAACAATTAATAAATAATAACACAATAATAAACTATGTTTGGTCTACTCACAACTGTAAACCTAATTTTTTTTTGCCTACTCTGTATTTCTCAGGAATTTCTTAGTGTTAAGCCAGAGTAGTGAGTAGTCTCACTCCATATGGTCTACTGGTCTGTGCTGCAGAGGCCCAAATTTTTAAAGCTGTTCTTAACTTTGTACTGTACCAAATCAGTTTGGTTTAGTTGTTGTTTTTCTTTTCTTTTCTTTTTTTTTTAAATATATTTTTTATTGATTTTGTACAGAGAGGAAGGAAGAGAGATAGAGAGTTAGAACCATTGATGAGAGAGAGTCATCAATTAGCTGCCTCTTGCACACCCCCTACTGGGGATATTCCCACAACCAAGGTACATGCCCTTGACCTGAATCGAACCCCGGGCCGACTTCTATCCATTGAGCCAAACCAGTCTTGGCTACTTGTTGTTTTTCTTAACAATAGGGTCATGTTGCAAACTGTCTAACCAGGTCAAGCATTGTGGTTTTGCATACTTTTTTGTTTGTTTGTTTTTTGTTTTTAGCATTATACAAATTACAGTATACAATACTGGAAAATCTTTTTCATCACTTATTTTTGGTTGACTTTGTTATGAAATAATTAACAGGGAAGATTACAAATATACTATTCGGAAAAGTAGGTTTATAGTTGTGTGTACACAAAACAGTTTATTCTTTAAAAAAATTTTTTAAATATTTTTATTGATTTCAGAAAGAGGGAGAGATAGAAACATTGATGAGAGAGAAGCATCAGTTGGCTGCCTTCTGCACAACCCACAACCCACCACTGCCTTCTGCACAACCCACTACTGGAGACTGAGCCCAGATTGAGGCATGTGCTCTAAGAATCGAACCAGTGACCTCCTGGTTCATGGGTCTATCTCAACCACTGAGCCATACCGACTAGGCCAGAGTTTATTCTTATTCTTATCTATTAAGTATTGTATTACCTTAAATATAAACCTATTTTTGCCCCAGCTTGTACAGTAAAACCGTAGAGCTAAAGAGAAACCCACAATGTCAGGCAAAGAATAACAGCCATACTTGTCTCAAAAGTTAATTATATTGAAGTTAATTTTAGAGCTTCATTTTATTTCCTGATCTCTATAGTAATAGTGATTGTATAATTGGATATGAACTAGAGTTGTTGAATATTGAAATGTCTCATTTAAATTATTTTACAACCTCTGCAATTATTATTTTACAACTTGAGGTATGAGTTTTCTGTTCAAAAGGGGGGGGGAATTTGATTTTATTTACTTATTATTATTATTATTTTTTAGTTATAAGAGATTATTGTTAAAAACTATTTTATGCATTGCAGGGGAGAATTTGCCCTTTGGCTTGATGGAGATCTCTACCATGGAAGAAGCCATTCCTGTAAAACGTTTGGGAATAAGACACTTTCTAAGAAGGAAGATTTCTTCATCCAAGACATTGAAATCTGGGCTTTTGAATAAATATAATGCTCTCTGTCTTAGCAGGATAATGGCCCAAACCTGACATGGATAAATTTTGGGAAGTTCAAGAAGCAATACAATGTAACATGTTACTCGTGCTTTAAAATTAGTCCATATCACCATTTATTACAGTTATAATTTTGGAACTTATTTTTAAAATCATGTTTTCTGTCCCAGAGTTCTTTAAGTCAGACCATGGTTATAGGTCCATGCAGTATAAAAGCGTGGGTTTTGTCAGAATTACGGCAGCATTCTGATCATAGTGACCACCTCACCTACAATCTATGTTATCTCAGTCTCCTAAAAGGATGGTGCTCTTTTGTTGAACCTATTTTGGTTTCTTATTTGAAAACTATATTGTTTAACTAGGTCAATCTAATTGGGGCATTAAGGGAATGAAGACTAGATACTGTTATATCTATGAGGTTGGCACAGATGAATTTTGAACATGCTAAACTTAGTCATTCTTAAGAAGGAAAAAACACATGCCAAAATAATGCATATTTTATGGACCACTGAGTTCTAGTTTTAGTTCACACTACAACATTCTCTTTATTAATTTTGCAAATACTCTCAATTTCATTTTAATAAAAATGAAATTTGAGGAAAATTCTGGTTGAAATAGACTGCAGTGTACATGATCTGCAGGTTTGGGCATATGCTTTCATCATTGAATTAACTGATAATTATAAAATTGCAAAGGAGAATGAGAACTAGATGATTCTACTGGATTTAATATATCAGGCAAGAAAATAGTCTACTTATATATTTATAGCTTAGCAGAGTATTGTACGTATAAAACTACAAAACAGCTGCATATTTCTTCAACATTTGTGTCAGGTATACTGTTTTATAGTTCTGTTGTTTAGCCTTATTGCACACCAACTCCCAAAACATAGGTTTCTGTTCAAAAGGAAAAACAAAACTTTATTTTTTATTTTTATTTTTTTTTTAGTTATTAGTTACCATTAGCATTTGCTGTTATAAAAGGGCAATGATAATAGTAGACAATTGTAACTCAGTAGACTTGTTGAATATGCAAACTTACTGTCAAGTGACCTCAAAAAAAAAAAATAACATAGAATATACTAATAGTTCTTATCCTCTTTTGTAGGAAGCCAATAATAAGCCATTATGGCAATAATTTATCAGTTAATTTTAAAGCTTCATGTTATGCAAACAGAATCCTGCTGTTATACATGTGACAGTGACTTTGTGCTGAAATTTCAGCTATTCCAGATAAACAGTGTATATTATCTTGTAAATTAATGTTTAAAGGTAGTTTTGTTCTTATAGAAAGTATGGATTGCCAGGTTGCTTATAGCACTTTAAATTATTCTAAAAATGAAATTATAAGCCAAATATGTTGGCTTAGTAGTTTTAGTTGTATAGCACTTAAATATATTTAGATCTTTTGAAAATTTAGATAATTATCTTTAAAAAGCATAATGCTAATGGAAAAGAAAATGTTCTATTTAATATGCTATTGCTGAATATGAATAGAAATGCAGGGCATCATTTTCTTGTCTATGTAAAGCTCTCTCATTATAACTTAATAGTATATAGATTAAGTGTTTACAAATAGGGAATTGTAAATAAATATATTGGGTTTCCCCCCATTTGGTCTTCCACAGCAGTATTATTGTCTTTGTGGAGTTGACTAATACTAAAAAAAAATCCTGATTGGATTTAAATTACAATAAGGTCATAGTGGTGTATACCAAATAAAATTAAATATATAAATATAAATTTGAGTTTGGATTTATTGAAAACCAATTTATTTTCATATTAAGAAATCTGATTGATCATATCACTATCTTTTAGATATAAAAATGTTTCTAATGATGGAGGTGATGGTGGTGGGTATTATATTGGTGTTGATGACTGATGGTGGTACTAGTGATGGTGGTGCTGATAGCAGTGATAGAGGGATGCATTCAAGTAAAGGGAGCAACCCAGTTTTAAAAATGGGAATTAACAGGCATTTGGCATGTGGAGAAGTGCAAGTCATTTAATATTTTTAAATTATGTCGTTCTCTTTTATGAAGAGGAATGCATAACAAGGTGTGACTAATGTCATAAAGAGGTTTGTTGTGTGCAGTGTCAAGAAATTAAATTTTTTTTATCTTGAATGAGTAATTAAAAAAATGTGAGTGTAGAAATCACATTATCAAATTTTCACTTCATGAAGATCTTTGAAAAACAGATTGGTAAAGAGAAAAACTAGAGACAAGTCCCATTGTAAAGACCAGAGGGAAAATATTAAAGCCTGAAGATGATTAATAATAATGATAATTAAAGAAGGAGGCATGGATTAGAAAGAGATTTAGGAATTAGAATAAGCAGGATTTGGTATTGGATATCGGAAGAGTTAAGGATAGTTGTCTGGTTTTTTTACTTAGAAACTGGGTATATTATTTGTCAAGTTGGGTGATACACAGAAAGGAGAAAAAAGCAGGTAGGTTACTATGGACCTTATGTTTGTATGATGTGAGAAATTAAATAGATTTGGGAGGGGGGATTTAATACTCTGTTCTGATGAAAAAAAATTTAAAGCAACAACATATAGGTAGATGTTGAAGCCATCCATATCCTATGTATGCTATGCCTTTGAAGATTGTAGACGGAATAAAAAGAGAGAAATCTTCAAATAGATTTTTGGTATATAGAAACATTAAATAACATGTAGAAGAAAAGACTCTACGCTTCCAACACAAGAAGCTAGAACAATAAATTAAACCTAATGGAAATAGAAGGTAAGACAAAATAAAGTTATGAGCAGAAATCAGTAACATTTAAAACATACATGAAACTAAATGGAGAATAATAAAAGTGTAAGTCTAATAAGATAAAGAAAAAGTTACAATTATTAAGAATTTAAAAGGAGACATCAGTATAGAGCCTGTAGACCTTAAAGAGAAAGGGTATTGTAAATAATTTTGCATCAATAAATTTGACAGTGTAGATGAAGTGGGAAAATATTTTACAAAATAACTTATTAAACCTGACCAATATAAATTATAATTTTTACATTACAGAAATTGACTGTTAAAGAAAGGAAAAGCCTTCCCACAAAAAAAAATCCCGCAACTCATATTGTTCTACGGGGTAATTCTAAAAGTATCAGTCTTAGATAAACTCTTTGAAGGTACTAAGAAAAGGGAGAACTTATTATTTTCAAGCTAGCTTGACTTAATACCAAAAGTTAACAGTCTTTGTAAAAAAAAAAAAAAAAAATCCAGAACAGTTTTATACCTATCAATTATTACTTTAAATGTAAATAGGTCCAATCCTCTAATCAAAAGACTTAGGGTGACTGAATGGAATAGAAAACATACATATGGATAAGAAAGCAAGATCTCTCTATATGTGACTCCAATAGCGTTACCTCAGAATGAAAGATGCAGACTAAGAGTAAAGTGATGGGAAAAAGATATTTTATGCAAGTAGAAAGGGGGAAAAAGCTGGGGGAGCAATACTAGTATTTAGCAATGTATCTGACAAATGGACTTTAAAACAAAGGCGGTAGTAAGACAAAGGATACTACATAATGTTTTCTGAATTTTTTAAAAGATTACTTAATGGAGAAGATTTTTTTTCAATAAATGGCACTGAATTGATTGGATGTCTGGAATAAAAAAGTTGATCTCACAGCACATACAAAAATTAATTACAACTTACATATCCTTAGGTAAAACAATAATGCTATTTCATTTAAAATATAGAAAAATATCATCATGATCTTAGAATACACATATTTTTTCAATGGAACACAAAGGATAAAATTATATGCTACATTACAATTTTAGGAGCTTTTTATCAAAAGATACAAAGTTGAAAAGTAACCAACAGAATGAAAGGTTTTTGTAATACACAGATTTAATGAAGGTCTCGTACACAGTGTATAAAAGACTACAAAGAAGTTCAGAAGAAAAGGCAGAAGACTGGCAATTCCTAAGAATATTAAAATAGCCAAAACTATTTTAAAAGGAAATGTGAAGGTAAAGTACTTTGGAATACTGTTTTGGAACTATATACTAAAGGTGAGAATTTGACCAGCAAATTTAATTCCTTGGTATGTACCTAACAGTGATATTTATTATTTGTTCACCAAAAGATACATACTAGAATGTTTATAGAACTCTTTTCTTTCTTTTCTCCTTTCCCCAGCATCTCCCCCATTTCTCCACACACCCACTCACCTATTTTGCTGAGACTAATAACTATTAAACCATTTATATAAACATTTGCATGTATCTGCTAAAGACAAGGCTATCCTTTTTTATCCTTTACTAGTAAGTATACAAAGATCAAATTCAGGAAATTTAACATAATAGTATCATTGAGTCCATTTTAAGATTTCACCAGTGGTTCTAATAATATCCTTTAAATCCTTATTTTTTCTGATCCATGATTCAATCCAGTATTCTTTGCATTTAATTCTATTTTATTTTCAACCTGCAAAAGTTCAGTGTGGGTTTGTCTGAATTTTTCCTATATTTAAATTTAGGTTACACATTTTTGGCAACAAAGCCACAGAAGCGATGTTCTGCCCTCTGCATCATATTAGGACTTATGTTTATCCCCTTTGGTGATATCTTCCATTAGTTGATCAAGAAAGTGTACACCATATTTCTCCACTGCTATCATGTTTCCTTTTGTAATAAGGAATGTGCAGGGGGATACTTTGATATCATAAATACTCTATTTTTCACTAACTTTTCACAATGTTTTTGATACCTATTGAGGATTCTTATCTGAATTACCAAAATTATTGTAAAATCATTTTTCTTTTATTCCCAACACATTTATTATTTGGCATTTATTATAAGGAAGAGCTTTTCTTTTCTCATCATTTGAGAATATCTATTACTAGAGGCCCAATGCACAAAATTAGTTCACTGAGGGGAGGTGGATGTCCCTTCGCCCAACGTGAGGTGGATGTCCCTTCGTCCCTTTCCCATCTGGGACCCCTCAAGATATGTCCACCTGCTAGTTTAGGCATGTCCTTGGTTGAGGATTAAAAAAATGGTTAGTTTTTTTTAAAAAAACCATGTCTGTTATTAGTGTGACTAGTGGGCTCCTTTCCTTAATTCAAAGTCTTGAATAATCTCTTTGTGCCTTAGAATTAACCAATGAGAACCCCAGTAGCTGGCTTCTGTGCATTTCTTCATGTCTTTGAACCTTGCTTGCTTCTGGTGCAATATGATATTCCAAACTTAACTATACTTTCTATAACCCAATCCTAGAATTAGTCATTTCTCCAAGTAGACATGTTTTCTCTTTTAAGGAGAATGGCATTTTGAAATCTGGATGTTAGCATGTTGCTGCTGGGGTGGCATTGCTTGTAGGGCCTCTCCGTAGACAGAGGTAGGAAATAAATGCACATATGACAAATGCACACTGATACTTCTAACCAGTTCAGCATCACAGCTTCTTCCTCATCTTTCCTCTCCATGTCTGTATATCTTCTCCCACAGTGAGGACATCAGTAATATTTACTCCTTTTCTTCATCTAAGACACATTATAGTTTCAGAATTGTACACCCGTACCCTCACAAACAAAATTAGATTTTAGCATTTCTTGGCAGCTTTTTTTGTCTCTATATTCAAAAATTATGTATATTTCTTTTCCTGTGCGCTTATTTTAATCATTTGAAATAGAATTATGGTTATTTTTATATTCAATTTTCATTTTTTCTATTCATTTGTTTTACTTTTTGTATATTGAAAAGTTTCCAAAATCCATTCTCTACAGAACTTTCTTCTTTCTCTTTTAATTTATTTCCACCCATCCCTATTTTCAAAATCTATATTCTAGAGTTCTGGTGCATGAAAATTCATGCACTGGAGGGAGTGGGTCCCTCAGCCCAGCCTGCCCCCTCAGTTTGGGAGCCCTCAGGGGTGGGAGGTGACGCCCCATCACCTCTACTGCTGCCATTGCCAGCAGCCTCAAACAGCCCTGGTTGGCTGGGCAGCTGCCATCCAAAACTTGCCTGCGCCTCGGGCAGGCCCTGGCCAACTGGGGGGGCTGAGGGTACTAGGGGACTGGAGGCAGGTGTGTGGAGTGGCTGGGCCCGCCTTGGGGCAGGTCCAGCCTTGCAGCACACCTGCCTGCTGCCCTGGCAGGGCTGATGGGACTGGGCACCGCCATTTTTGAGGGCTGGGCAGTCAATTAGCATATTCCCTCCTTATTGGCTGTGGGTGCCACCATTTTTGAAGATGGGGCAGTTAATTAGCATATTGGCTGTGAATACCACCATGTTTATGATGGCATGAGGGTCAATTAGCATATTCCCTCTATTAGGACAATGGTTGGCAAACTCATTAGTCAACAGAGACAAATATCAACAGTATGATTGAAATTTCTTTTGAGAACCAAATTTTTTAAACTTCTAATGCTACTTCTTCAAAATAGACTCATGCAGGCCATGGTATTTTGTGGAAGAGCCACACTCAAGGGGCCAAATTGCCGCATGTGGCTTGCAAGCTGCAGTTTGCTGACCGTGGAGATAGGATAAGGACTTGCATTAGTTTGCCCTCTGAGTTCTACTCCCCTCACCCCCTAAATTTTCCACTGGGTTTTTCTATTATGGGATTTTTAAGATAAAAATCTGTCTCATTGCAGTCATTTTCTTCAGGAAGCTAGCTTTCTGATTTCACAGCCACACCTTATTCAGAAGAGTATTTGTAATGTAAGCTCTCTGAGAAGACTTTTTACCAGTAATTCCTTCCTCAAATTCAACAGATTGAACTTTGAAGAATTTGTGTCAGGGCCTACACAAATTAGTGTTGTCCAGAGTGAATATGAGGAAACTTAAAGAATTGGTCTAAATGTACCACTGATAGCTAGAAGTAACCCAAGTTGCACTGTATAATTTTGATGTATTCCAAACATGTAGTAAAAGTATTTTAAACGCAACAGGTAATACAAGAAAATGTCTCTTATTCTTGTACCATATCTTATAATTTTGACATTGGTTCATGGTTATGATAGAAGTATACATCTTAGATAAAATTCTACTTAGGAATATTGGTCATTTGTTAAATTACAAATTATATTAAATTATATATAAAGAGAAATGTACAAGCCTTCTTTAAGAAGTTATTGGAACTTAATTTTAAAAGAATCATACATGAAAACTAATTCCTATAGTAATTTAATCCATACCTATAGTAAACCTAATATTTAACAATTATGAATCTATTATTTTGAGGTCATAATTTGACAGTAATTTCTGTATTTAACACCAGAGTCTATGTAATTTAGTAATTTTTATTGAATTCAGTAAAAATTGCAATCACATATTTTCAGCTTATTTTTATAATTATATAAAGGATATTAAATCTGAGAAAAAATGAGAAGTAGCTGATTAATGTCAAATATTTCTTTGGCATATTAAACTATTTCACTGTGGCAGGTCTAATATTGCTGTTATATAATTTTCAGATATTTTATAAAGTTTATTAGAGTATGAAGAAAAGGTACATAAACATTCTACTTTATTGTAGAATTTTCTGTACTACTTCATTATATGTTGACATAAATGTAAGTAGCATATTATAATTTTGAGAAAAAATAAGCTTCTCCAAGAAGTCCTCCTAGGGCAGGTAAATCACATCTCTCATCTCTTTTACTTTTATAGCGAAAGTGAACAAAACCACCTTCCCTATTGGTTGGTTCCAAGACCACCAGTGATGTATGTTTTCATGTGATTAGCACAAATGACAAAGGCATGGCTAACTGTAGAAACCTATTAAACCATAAGAAGCCCTCAGAGAAATTTGAGCAATTTCGTTACTTTATTTGAAATCTTAATTTTGTGTGTGTGTCTATTTTGTAAGTGATGCTATGATTATAATAATATACAAAGTCAAGCTTAGAAAAGTTTAAGATTTGTTTTGCCAAACTTAATGGAATTCTTTTTTTTTTCTCCTGAAAAATGACATAAGTACCTAATGCTGATAAGTACCTAAACTCAGCGCTCTTCTTAGATGTAGTAATTATTTCATTAACGATCTATAATAATGTCTGCAATTAAATATTATTGCCTAAAAGGATAAGTAGAATTTCAAATGCTTGTGTGTGTTTCCTCAAAAATCTTCAAACATCCTCAGAGATAGAATACCCAGAAGTCATTCATGTAAAAATTGTTTAATATTTCTTACTTATTACAGAACAGTTTGCATTTTTATTCGACTAAGTTAGCATTTAGCATTAAGACATTAGTGGGCCAAGTTTGGCTTTTGCTGTTGAAGGTTCACTCTAGTAGAGTAATCACAACATGGTCATCTCGGCCTTGCCATAGCATCTCTCCTTCGAAGTCCACCAGTCCGTGTTTCCTGGCACGCATGAGTATGCCCACCACTTTATCTGAAATACGAACATATCTGTCAAAAAGATCTCCGAAAGTGACCTGGATCTTGCCATCACGTCTGTGGCGAGCCATTGTGCGGATAATGAAGCACATGTCCATAATTTCCCGATGGATGTGTTCCTCGGCTCGCTTGGCCCTCTCGGCGGTTTTGGTTCCCTCCTTGGGCCAGCCGTAGCCTTCGTCTCCCTTGTGGAGGCGGCTGGACATGGCCAGCTGATAATCAAATTCCTCACTGAAAGGGTTGAGCTTCTGGGATTGTATGTGTTCATCGGCCCACCGCTGCCATTTTCCTTTCAGGTCCTGCAGTTGACTGCATTTCCGTTGGGCCTTGCGGTTGAGTTTCTCTGTAAATCTATTTGCCCTAAAGGAGAAAGAGCATGAAGCATCAACACAGTGATATTTTACCACACAAGAGGTGTTCTCTCCTGTGCTTTCTGCACATATGCATCATAACGTAAGCCTTTTTTTTTTCATTATAAAAATATGTAAACATAATACAAAGAAATTAGAAATGAAAGAAGAAAAATACAATTGTTTTTTGTTGTATGTCCTAGATTATTTTGTCTAAGTAACAATAAGGTTTTAAGCATCATAAAATAATAATACTATTTGAAGAAAAAAGCTTCTTTATACAAATGTAATGCAGATACATGTATCTTAAATTATATATTAAGAACATTTTAGAACTGGAATCATGAGTTTATATCTATAGAGGCCTAATATGCAAAGTGTCCCCTCTGACGTTCAACCAACTGGAAGAGGTAGAGCAGCACTGAATTTGCTCCAGGAGCATGGCATGCCTGACTAAGTAGCCCTCCTACCCAAACTGTACAATTTACTTTTCAAAACCCAGGAACAGTTTCAGATGTGGTATTCCTCACTATACAGACTCGCCTCCTGAACTCTGCTTACTCAAATGCAGGAGGCTAATAGATGCATAGGTTGACATAAGTGTGTGTGAATAAACTTTGTTTGCAAGAGGAACAATGTCCACTAGAGGGCGAACTTTCCTTAATTCCCAGGCTTTATGTTACCCCCTACCCTCTTAAAATAGAATTCAAACTAGGTATTCACTGCTACATATAACACTGCTATTCTTTGTAGCCACATGAACAAAAGTACATGACAATGTTAACTGTGGAAAAGCAGCACTAAAAAAACCATGAAATTGTTACAACTTTAAATATCATATATGAATGGAAAAGTGGTAGGAATTGCATCACATTGAAAATGAAATGGGTTTCTCTCTCTTCCCTGCTGGTCCTCACCATTTACTCCTTCTCCACAGACTGTCCCTGTTCAGCTGCCCAGACTTGGCTGCTTGATCTCGTTATCAAAGGAGAGCAAACACCTGTGCCCTTGGGACCATGGCAATCAATGACATGGTCCCAGGGATCTCTGCAGAGCCCAAAGGTCATGCATAGTTGATTTGAGGCTGAGAAATTCTCAGAAGAAAGTGAAGAGAATAACATTGTTCATTGTTCACTAACTCATACTTTGTGTCTCCTGAGCACCAACTATAGTTCTGTCCTATAGTATGGTACACAACGCATCCTTCCTTTAAGGAGCTTCTCAGCACTTAGACATTTTTTTCATTTTTTATTAAAGTATTTATGATATCTACTGTGTGCCAGGCACTGTTTTAGTTACTTATTGGGTATTCAGTAATGTGAAGAAAAAGAGCAAATAAGCACTAAAAAGATATTCATGAAAGTAATCAGAGTACAAATTTAAGTATGTGGTATAATTTCAACTGTGTAAAATGTGCATGCACCAGACTGAAGGAATCAATGGCATATGTACAATTGGAAATAGTTATGCTGATATCCAGATGATAATTGATTTTTTTCATCTTTAAAAAAATTCATCTAGGTATTATATTGATTTTATAATTTAGAGAAAGCAAAAATTAAGAAAAGTTTCAGATCAGCATCCAAAGGTCATTTGTTTCACCATATTTTAGCTGGGTCTCTGATTCTTTGAAGTAGTTTTTTTCTTTTAATTTCAATTAGGAACTTAGATTTCCTGAGTTTTGAAATTCTGTCATTTGGAAAAGAGATTGGGATTGGTGAGATTATAAATCTATGAAGAAGAAACATTTATCTTCTTTAAAAAAAAGCACCTTCTAAATGTTAATGTATATTTATCATATTGTCAAATTGTAATTCCCACTAATAGGAGGGAAGGAAAACAAATGAATTGGTCCTACAAGCAAGAAGTTTTAAATGGAGCTATATATTATACCTTAATGAGTATTAAATTTTTCTCTATCTCACAAATGTTCTGTATCCTTTTTGTCTTTCCAGTTTTTAAAAAAATGTTAAAATATCAGTTTTAAATCAGGATTAGAAAGACTTATGTCTTAAGTATCTTCTTGGTCAGTGAATATAAGAATCAATATACAGCTTTTCTTGTTTTTGTTTTCATTTATAAGTAAAAATGTGCATAATAGTTGAAACTGAGATTTAAGAAGACATTCTAGTATAAATTTATAAGAAGCAAAGCAATATTCAACATTGCATATAGTAATATTTAATCCAAACTTATTTTTTTAGTTTCTTCATTATCAATAAACAAATTTCCTTATATTTGACCAATAAAAATTTCCCCTGTCCTGATATGTGCAAGGTAACTATTTCTTTTAGGCATTATAAGCATTCTTTGTTGGAAAGTCTAAGTTTATTCGTTGAAATAAATTCTGAAATGTATTCCTTATCTGTCAACTTTAAAAATGACATCAGTTTGAGTGATGCTTTCTTACGTGAATGTGGCTCATTGGTTACATGATGAGAATATGAGAACCAACGTTATCATTTTGGTGCAATAATTATGTGGGTAAATTATTAAGTCTGAACAAAACCCATGAGAATGTTGTGAGGATTGAATTGATAAATATATGGAGAGTGCTCAGACAAATTCCAGAGGAGAGTGCATGCATTGGAGATGGGTCCCAGCTGTCAACTCCCTGTCTCTGGCCAATTCAAATGTGCTAACAGGAAGCTCTTCACTGTGCTAATCCCAGTCTTTATTCTGTTGGTCTCTATTCTCTTTCTAGCACACAATCACACACACACACACACAGCCCATATTTCTGGTGAAATGCTTATTTCTGATCATGAATTCCTATTTAAATAGAAGTAGAGCACAAATCCAAATCTCTGATCACATCTTCAAGGCACTGCCTGACAGTGGGCCCCATGTGTAAACTTTGGTCAGCTTTGTCACCAGCCTGCTAGGTAAACTTCCCCTCCAAGCTTCAGTGCTCTCCTTCTAAAATGGGAGAATACTTCATAGGACTATTAGTGTTAAAAGGGAAAAGCATGTAAAACACCCAAAGAGCACACTAAATGCACAAGGGATTGTTAAAGTGATCTGTTTGATATTTCATTTTTCTTCAAAGTTTGCAATATAGTAGTTCTAATTCTTTCAAAATACCTGTAAAGTCACACACTGTAAGACAGCTCTTTGTCAAATTAGGTAACCAATTCTGTTCTTTAGTTTCTTTTTGTTTCATAAAACTTGAAAAGCACACATACACTTTTCTGTTCCCAGAGGGAGTTAGTTTAGAGGCATTCATCACATCAGCAGCTTTTCCCATTTTGGGATATCCTGTGTTGTGGAGTGAGATATCCTGACTTGCTAGTAAGTGGAGGTGGAGTTAGTGTCTTAAAATAAAGTATGTGTTTCTTGTCTGAATGTGTGTGTGTGTGTGTGTGTGTGTGTGTGTATTTAGCATCTAAATATTTTAGGATTGTGGTATTTAAATTATCTAGCTTTAATAGCATTTCTCTTTGTTTACAGGTGCCTTTTCCCCCTAAAAGTTTAAATAAGTGCTAAATAATGGAATCTAGCCATAGCTGGTTTGGCTCAATGGATAGAGCATTGGCCTGCAGACTGAAGGGTCCTAGGTTCGATTCCAGCCAAGGACATGTGCCTGGGTTGTGGGCTTGATCCCCAGTAGGGGATGGGCAGGAGCAGCCTATCAGTGGTTCTCTCTCATTGATGTTTCTATCTTTCCCTCTCCCTTCCTTTCTAAAGTCAATTTAAAAATATTATTTTAAATAATGGGATCTATATGAATAATAACAGCTTTCATATATTGAGCATATAAGGCAGGCACTATGCTGAGTACTTGGCAGCCTTACTTTCACTTCTCTCACTACAGTAGAATTGATCCCAAAAGATTACTGTTGCCATCATTTTACAAAGGAAGATACTAATAACCAAATACTTGTATGCATATGTGGTATAATTTCATTGCATACAGTAATATTTAATCCAAACATATATATTTTTTAGTTTCTTCATTATCAGACAATAGTGTGGTGAAGGCTGGGAAGGGGGGTGAAGGGTACGGGCTAGAAGAGGTCAATGGGAAAAAAAAGGGGACATATTAATACTTTCAATAACAAAGATTTTTCTTAAAAGGAGGAAATAGGCTTAGAGAACTACAGGGGTGTGTTTGTGTGTGGAAAATTTAAGATCTACTCTTAGCAACTTTCAAGCATGTAATACAGTGTCATTAACTAGTCAGGCTAGAGCTAGCATTTGAACTTGGGTCTGTCTGAAATCAGAGTTTGCTCTCATTAGATAGCAGCCCCCTACCTGATTATTGATGAGATGTGGAGCTGTGCGCCATGGGCACTATTGGGGGAGATGTGACCCCTGATAAAACTGATTGATTTGAGACAAAGGAAAGGTCTCGCCAATCAATCTACCAGCAAGCACTTTTCTCTATAGAGAAGCCAATATGCTACTCATTGTGCAATTGATTTTAAAATTTTACCCAAAGTACACACCACCCCTCTCTGGTGTTCCACTTTTGTTGAGGCTAACCCTTGAGTGCTGAGTTCAAAGAGAAAGGAGAGACAGCCTAATGGAGGCACACTACCCTAAGATCCTTGTCTGAGCTGGGCGCTGCCCTTCTAGTCTGGGGCAGGCCTTCCCCCGGGCCCTCCCTGCCTGCCAGTCTCTAAGACTCACTCTGACTTCCCTGCTACCTCCCTGCCCCGTGGGCTCCCACATCAGGCTGGGCCTCAATGGCAGTCTGAGGAGCTCAAGGATGAATTCACTTACTGGGAGGGCAAGGGCCTTTTGATCCGGGCAGGGGCCACCTGCTCCCCGTCCTGCTCGGGCCTGTCCTCTGTCTCCCCTCCATAGCCGCTGTCCTCCGTGTCTATGCTGTCGCTCCTCCACTTGGGCTCATCCTGCTCCATCTCCTTCCAGCTTTTGGTCAGCTCGGACACCAGGTTGGTGCACTTTCTCCTGCGTGTCGGGGAGCCGTGGCTGTGGAGGATCCTGTCGATGTCATCCTCGGGCTGCCCAGGGCCAGCTATGCCACCATCCTCGTACCGGTGGCTGAGGTGGCTCACGTCTCCTCCTCTCTCGTAAGCTTTGCTGACAACGGTTTTGGTCACCTCTTTCCTTCTGATCGGGGAGACCTCCGAGGCCTGCCCTGAGCTCAGTCCTTCCCCAGGCCCCGCTGGCTTCAGGGAGGGAGCCTGGGGGGCGCTCTGGGCTTTCTGGTGTGGAGTGAGATGTATCACCGGTTTAGAGTCTTGAGATGGGTCCTGCGTCCCTCCGGGCAGCCAGCCTGCAGGCTCCTGAGCCTGCTTGGTGCTGTTCTCATTTGCCCACTGCTGCCAGCCTCGGGCCAAATTGATGACCAGGGTGGCCCTGTGTACTTTCCGCAGGGCACTCTTGGCTGGCCCCTCCTCCCTGCCTTTCTCTCCCGCAGTCATGCTACCCTTCTCTTCCGTGCTGATAGCCTGGGCACCCGAAGAAGAGTGAGTGGCGACCAGCGGAGTGCCTCGGATTTAAATAGGAGCAGGGGATGGGGGTGGGAAGAGAGTTTGGTGACGGTGAAAGTATGTGAAGCATTTCTTGCCAAGATGTGGTGCCTTCCCCCTGATGGCGTGCTTTTTTTAGACCCTGATGGCTCCGGTTTCATCACGGCAGAGGGATCTCTGCCGGTAAAGGACAGGGATCTATCTGTCACTCCCTTTCTTCTCCAGGTGCCAGAGTGGAAATTGCTAGATCGATCATGCGCTCAGCCTTGTTTTCCTTGACCTTAAAATATGGTCCTACCATTTATAGAAGCATAAAATATGTGCACAAGTTGTACTAGGAACATTATAGGTGTGTTCTCATTTAAACCTCATCAGCCCCCAAAATAGCTTCGTCCCATTTCATAGCTGAGTGCAATGAAGTCTAACTTCCTCAAGCAAATAAGATCTGAGATTCGAACCCAGGTCTGTCTGCCTCTTTTCATCCTAGAGAGCAAAGATCCTAAGTTGCCTTTTCCTTTTGTCTTCAACTCTATTCCATACAGACCCGAGAAGGCACCTCATCCAACCTTCATTTTCCAGATGAGAATATTGAGGCCCACATAAAAGGTATGATAGTAGTCATGTTTTCCAGTCCTAGGTCTGAATTATTGTATAAATAAATCATATTAAATTAAGACCATGGTCAACATTTTGATCCAATCAGATTTTAAATCTTTACATTAATCTGACACACACATTGGATTTCATAGAATGTTTATAACAATCAGTCTTTTCAAATTGTTTGTTATATAAAGATAAGTGAATACTATAAGAAGCAACCCCTGTCTGACCTTTTGTTTTTGATATCACAACCTTCTTTGCAGAAAAAGCCACTCTTTCAATTCTCAGAGCAAAGATTGAAATATAGGTTTTTAAAAAGGACAGGATAGATAGGGCAGTTAGATAGAAAAGGAACCATTTGTGATGTCTACTAACCACATAAAATGATTAGAGCTCAGCACTGAAAGTTCTTAAAGTAAGGCGAATATGTTTGTTTCATACAGCAGTTCTGTAGACTTGAATACTGTATCCTTTTCGCCAATCTTGTCACACAGTTAATTGCACTGATAGAAAACGGCTGTCAAAAATCATGCAAATAGGTATGAACGTTAATTATTTCTGATAGTAAGGCCACTATATTTTTTAAATGTCTTTTTTTTTTTTCTTTTTTTCTTTTTTTGTCATGGAGGTCATTTGCCTCCTATGATTATAACAATTTGGGAGAGATTTTATTACTCTATCTAGAAATCTGTCCCAAGTGTTTTCAGAATTCAACATTATCTGATAACGGTGACTGAGCTTCAACAATGCATAGCCTAAATCCCTCCTGATTAATTAAGGGGAAACGATCACAAGAAAGAAAACCGTTACAGACGAAGATTGAATTTGAAGCCCAAAGTTTCTGGCATTCTTTCTTGGGATGGAGATGCCGTGCACACTGCTTGGTTCCTATTAAGATTCCCTTCATCCCTCTTGTACCGCCTTGGGAAGGGATGGCGTTCCGCAGAGATGCCTGTGCGCTTAGTCTAGGATCAGGCTAATTGGCGTTTTCTAAGGGGTGTTTCTGCTTTGCTGACCACACCTGCTCCCCATTCAATCCTGACAGAGGGAGAACAAATGGAGACAGAAAAGTGTTACTTAGTCTTTCATGGCATTACAGTCAGCTGCCTGAGGTGGGGCCCGGGGCTGTCAACAGATAGTCTTGGCCAGTGGTCGACAAACTGCTGCTCGGGAGCCACATTCAGTTCCTTGGGCCCTTGAGTATGGCTCTTCCACGAAATACCATGGCCTGGGCGAGTCTATTTTGAAGAAGTGGCGCTAGAAGAAGCTTAAGTTTAAAAAATGTGGCTCTCAAAAGAAATTTCAATTGTTGTCCTGTTGATATTTGGCTCTGTTGACTAATGAGTTTGCTGATCACTGGTCTTGGCAAAAAAAGATTCAGCTCCTAAAAGAATTGGTTATTCCTTCTGAGATTTCACTTCCTTGGCAAATGTGGACCCTCCTTCACAATTCTCCAGGAGAGAGTGAGCATTCCTTCCCTAACGCAAGATCTGTGTGCCATCTATGGTGGCGCATCCTCTGACTACTACTACAGTGTCCTACTTGAAAAGAAGATGTAAAAGAGGAAAATGAAGTCTCCAGAACAAAGATAGAGTGAAATAAGGAGTTTACCGTGTGAATTTGCTACAAAACCGTGAGATTAGAGACTGTAGGCGGAGCTGCGGACCTGATTAAAAAAATCATTGCCACCCACAAAATTTCTTACGTGTTTATTGAAAAAAAAAACAAAAAAACAGTTATCATTTGAGCAATTCTAGGGAGAGGAGGGTACTTATACACTTCCCTGCATGATACAGTTGGAAGTCAGGTGGACCTACCCATCATGACCAGCTATATAACCTTAGCACACAGACTTTAGAAACTGACTTGTGCTCAGAGCTCCTGTAAAACAATGGGTTGATTCTATCTAAAGGTAAACAAAAGAAGTGCTTCACTTGCTTAGTTTCAGAAAAGGGGGAATGAGAGGACTTTGAGAAGTTCTGACTTCAGTTGAATGCACTCCATGCTTGCGGAAGGGATGCAGTGGGCCAGCCCTGATGGTAGGCAATATGGGAGGGGGCATAAAGCTGGACAAAGCAGAAACTAATTCCAGCGTTTTCCCAGTCTAGCCAGGAAAAGACATGCATACAACCGCCTTTAATAGTTTTGGGGAGAGCTAACATTAGAAATAAAAATAACGCTTTGGCCGGTTGCTCAGTGGTTAGAGCACTAACCCACACCACAGGGTCCTGTGTTGGATTCCCAGGCACGATTCCCAGTCAAGGGCACGTATATAGGTTGCGGGGTCTTCCCCATCCCCACCCTCTTTTTGCTCCCTCCAACCAAGATATGAAAAGCAATGGAAAAAAACACCCTTGGGTGACAACAAAAATAAAATAAAGCTTTATGGGATCATTGAGCAGCAAAGGTGATTGATTCTGTTGGGAGGAGGAGCAGAAGTTGGGGCTGTGGTCAGAGGTCACGGGAGCGCACTAAGGGCCTCGGAACGTGTGCGGGTGGGCTGGCCGGGCTCAGGGCCGCCCACCCGCCAGCCCCACCGGCCCGCCCTTCTCAGGGCGAGGTCACTGGTCCGGAAGGAGCCCCTCCTTCCTGTTCTCCGCCTGGGGAGAGAGGCTGCCCCACGCCCGCCCACCTGCACCGGACGGCGGGGGCCCAGCTCAGCTTCCCCAGCAGGAGGAACCAGCAGGCGGACAGCCCTGAGCCCACCATCCGGAGGCCCGCGGCTCCTCTCGCTCCAAAGGCTGGTTCCCTACAAGACGGTGGTTGTGGGGGCCCAAGGCCAAGGCCAGAGGTGGTGGTCCTCTCAGAGTGGAGGCCCACGAGCAAAGCCCGCCACCCGCCCCAAGGGCGCATGGCCCCCCTGGGCAGCATCCCCTCGGGGCCTGGACCCAAGAGCAAGTACTCTCTTCTCTCCCCCCCCCCCCCTCGCCCATCTGCCCATCTGCACGCGGCCGCCCTCCGTGGGCCAACAGCCCCCGCCAGCCGTTAGCCCTGATCCGTTAGCCCTGGTGGCCGAGCTGGAGCGGCGGCGGGCGCCAAGAGCTCCCAAGGACCCCTCCCACCCAAAGCAACAGTGGCCAATTCAAGACAGATTGGGGGAGGGGGGGAGGGAGGTGGAGAAAACGGGAGCTTTTCCAGGTGTGGAAAGGATACTCTGAAAAAACAACGGGAACGAAGTTCAAAGGCAGGAGGACCCAGGAGAGAGACCACACACCGCCCCGCCCCCGGGGTCCCACAGATCTCCTCAATGCCAGGTGAGTTGGGTTGGGGCACAACACAGGGCGATGAGGTCTGGACTTTTACAGCAACTTGACCAATTGTTGAACCGGTGACAGTTAGATGCAGGCACACTCTTTCTCACACACAAACACAGTAGCATTGGGTGAACCAACACAGGGTAACATGTCTCTGGACCCAGGTAAGACGTTTAAAGAAGAGCAGACAGTGTCTATGGGGCAAGAACAAGGTGCCAGGAAGCGGAAGGATAGGCCTTTGAAGAAGCTGGAGCGACATCCTAAAGAACACCCAGCTAAGGAATCCGTGTTTTATCACGTGGGACTGGTTGCATCGCTGAGGATGCTAAGCCTCCATGTGGTATCAAAGTTGTGTTACCAAATGATCAATTCTAGATCCTGCAAAATGGGGTTTGGGTTTGAAAAAGATAAGACTAGGGTAGAGAGACTGTCTACAGGGGTTACTAAAATAATACTGAATTATGCCTGGCTGATGTGTTCAGTGGTTGAGCAACAAGTACGATGTCACTGGTTCCATTCCTGATCAGGGCACATGCCTGGGTTGCAAGCATGATCCCCAGTAGGGGGCATGCAGGAGGCAGCAGATGGATGGATATATCTCACTGATGTTTTTTTCTCTCTCTCCCTCTCTCTCTCTAAAAATCAATAAAAACAATAATACCGAATTACTAAAATTTGGAAAGAACCAAATGAGGATTTGAAAGACTTGAGAGCCAGCGAGAGTAACATTAAAAGGTCATAGGGAACAACTAGTTGGGTGTCCGGGATGAGCCTGAGGTTTCAGTGTAAGTGACAGGTGTGAGGAGGTGCCCTGAGCCAGGAGAGGACAGGAGAAGGAGAGGATCTGTGTGATAAGGAAACATTTCCATCTTGAGTTGAGGGAACTCTGCAGCATGCATGTGGAGATGTCGAGGAGTGAGAATAACCAGGAATATGGCCCCTGTGGTCAGGCAGAACGGGGTGCAAATCCAGGCTCTGTGGCTAGCAAGGTGACCTAGGACGTGTAATTGATTTTGTCTAAGGTTCACTTTGGTTACCCATAAGATTGGTATTATCAGAGCATTTACCTCATGGCATCCGTGCAGGGATTGAGTTGAC